CTTGCATCCCCAGATGTTCTTGGACTACAGCTCCCAGAAATTCTTGCCACTAGCCATGCTGGCCAAGGTTTTTGGGAATTGCAGTCCAAGAACACCTAGGCTACCTAATGTTGGGAACCACTGCTCTAGATATTTGAACCATCTGCACCTGTCCTGATCCTTCACTGTTGGCTGCACTGCCTAAGGGGAATGGCAGTCTGACAACATCTGGAGGGCCAATTGTTCCCTATTTCTTGGGGTTACATCTGTCTTCTCCACTTGATTATGAGGCAAAAGCTCTCCACCATGTTTCCCCAAATGAACCAGGATGCAGATTCATCCTGCCTGTAACCTTGGTCCCATCTCTGGCAGTTCTTGATGTTGCTGAAGAAATTGAGAACTGGCTTTTTTGAAAACCAGAACCAAAGAAGGTCTCAGAACAAAAATAATCAAATGTGTTCTCTCCCTCTCATGGCATCTAGTTACCCTGTTCTCCTTTACCCTGCCCCTTTTTTTCTTCCACCGATACAAATACAGTCAAATCTGCCAAAAAGGAAAATGCCAGATGTGGTAAGTAATGAAGCATGTGTATACAATGAGTATCATGCCTTCTGTGCTGTGTATCATTTAAATATTGCCACTTGTCATGAAGAAAATCTAGAACGGCATTTAAGAGAAAGCACAAAATGATAAATATGCCAGCTTATGGTTCCATCCTGACCAGCATCTAGAGTAGGTGCAATACTCTAGTCGTGGAGCCTGGGCATTTGCAGCATTCAGAATGGAACAACTCCTGTGAAATTCACTCCTCCTTTTCTTTCTTCATTTTTCCCCATCTTTCTTCTTTTTCCTCTTATGATTTAACACATATGTTTGCAGTTTGTGGATGCGGACAATCTCCTGACGAACCCGGACACCTTAAGCCTTTTGATAGCAGAGAACAAGACGGTGGTGGCTCCAATGCTGGATTCACGGGCAGCCTATTCAAACTTCTGGTGTGGGATGACCTCCCAGGTAGGCAGGTTACATAGTCTGTGGGTCACCTACATTTCTCACTTGCATGCATTCAAAGCCACTGAGATCAGAGTGAGTGGCATGTAAGGTTCCAAGGCAAGGTTTCCATGTGGTGGAAACAGACAGACTGGACTTTGTGTATCTAGTGCCAAATGCAGCTTCCTCTGAATGTGGGGCTGCAACTCCGATGGTTGCAGGGTAAGCCAAAGGTGGGTAATCTCAGGGTCTTGGGGTTGAATCTGGACTGTCTGGTGTCCGAAACCAATGGGATCGCCCAAATTGCCAGTCCTCATTTCCAACAGCATGATGGTTTGGTTGGTTCCCAGCTTCTGTACATGGTTTTCTCCATCCTGAAAACTTGAAATACTTTCCCTAAGGATTAGTTTACTCACAGATCTCCAGGTTAAAATAGGCTGCTAGCTTTTGGCCCTGCTCACCAGCTGAAGGTGGCTTCCAAGGGCAACTCGGCAAATGAATCCTATTCCTGTGCTGAAAGAGTTTTCCTGCTCTTGGTTTAAACTTAACACGGTAGAGATCTGTCTAGATCAGTGGTTCCCAATCTTGGGTCCCTAGACGTTCTCACACTAAAACTCCCCAAAGTCTTCACCACTCAGTGTGCTGACCAGGATTTCTGGAAGTTGAATCCAAGAACATCTGGAGACCCAAGGTTGGGAACCACTGCACTAGATCAAAGGAAGCACCTCGGTTCCCTCAACTCCTGGAAATCATCACTTGTTTTGTGGATCAAAATGTATAAGCGGTATAAATATCTTCACATACCAGTTGGGAGGAGCCCATAGTTGTCTTTTTGTGGCTGCGGAGTTCTTCACCACACCTTGAGAAAGTGGTCGATGCATAAATGTTGAAGTGATTGAATATAGCGAAAAATATACAGCATTAAAAAAATGATGTGGAAGGCCCTGAAAACAAAGCAGAATGTTTCCTATGGGCTGAAAATCATATATGGCATTTCACACCCTCTGGAGAGGCCCAGAGGAGCTTTTGAGCAAAATATCCCCCCCCTTTTTTTAAAAAAAATTAGGTAGTTTTCCTGCTCTTGGTTTAAACTTAACACGGTAGAGATCTGTCTAGATCAGTGGTTCCCAATCTTGGGTCCCTAGACATTCTCAGACTAAAACTCCCAGGATCCATACTGACCTTTCAATGAAATAAGCCTTACATAAATATTACTTTCTTTTGCTTCTCTCAGGGCTATTACAACAAAGGAAGCACCTCGGTTCCCTCAACTCCTGGAAATCATCACTTGTTTTGTGGATCAAAATGTATAAGCGGTATAAATATCTTCACATACCAGTTGGGAGGAGCCCATAGTTGTCTTTTTGTGGCTGCGGAGTTCTTCACCACACCTTGAGAAAGTGGTCGATGCATAAATGTTGAAGTGATTGAATATAGCGAAAAATATACAGCATTAAAAAAATGATGTGGAAGGCCCTGAAAACAAAGCAGAATGTTTCCTATGGGCTGAAAATCATATATGGCATTTCACACCCTCTGGAGAGGCCCAGAGGAGCTTTTGAGCAAAATATCCCCCCCCTTTTTTTAAAAAAAATTAGGTTGTAAGGATGCTGCATTGTGCCCCTGGAGGTGGCCCGTTACTGATCTCTCCTTAGTGTATGTCATTTTTGCACAGGTTCTTACAGAATTGCAGGTGTTCTGGACCAGGATCCATACTGACCTTTCTATGCAATAAGCCTTACATAAATCTTAATTTCTTTTGCTTCTCTCAGGGCTATTACAAGCGCACGCCTGCTTATATCCCGATCAGAAAGCGTGACCGCCAGGGCTGCTTTGAGGTTCCCATGGTCCATTCCACCTTCCTCATCGACCTGCGGAAAGAGGCCAGCCAGAACCTTGTCTTCTACCCACCCCACCCAGATTACACTTGGGCATTTGATGATATCATTGTCTTTGCCTTTGCCTGCAGGCAGGCTGGTGAGTCCAGAGGCTGCTTCCTCTTAGTAGGAAGGATCCTACCCTTGCTGAATGGTTCCACTGAGCAATGGGCTCCTGGCAACTGAAAGGCACCTTTATGGTAGAATCATGAAATTAACAGGAATACCTTTGATTTGTTCACCAGCTTTGCACACTGTTGTTCCCCAGCTTCCGTGACCAGCAATGCTGTTTGCCTGCTTTCCACCCTTATTGATCACCAAGGGATGTTCCAGCAAGATGGAAGTAGATGAGGTAGCCTTACACGGCTCCCTCCAGCTTGGAAACAGCAGCGCACAATGGCTGTTCTCGTTTTCATTCTTCTGGCTTTAGGCCATCAAGGAGGAGTGGGGAACATGTGGCCCCCCAGATGTTCTTGGACTGGTACTCTGGCCAGCAGAGCCAAGGCCAAGAGAAGGTCAGGGACTTGCAGTCTGGCAACATCTGGAAGACCTTACATTGTCCACCCCAGTCTAAGGGTTGGAGGGATAAAATTTTCTGTTGGGGACAGAAATGCAAATGCTGGACCCTTTTAAACTTTTTTCTTGACAGGGTCATGTCTAGACAGCCATTTTAAATGGGCAGGTTTGTATCTGGGATAATACTTGCTGGGTGTCGGGGGCAATTCGACTCAGCTCAACCTGATCTGGCACTTAGCCACTTGCATGTTGCAATTCAGTCTGGATGTCTTCTAAACATTTTATAAAAGATGAATCTAAGCTGGTATTCTTGGGATAATACATAAAACACTACCTTTTACCTTACAAGACCGGTGGTACAGTTTATTGGTAAATTTGGAAGATAGCAGTATCCACTTCTCCAGGAGATTTCCTGATGTATAGGCAGCCGGACTTATGTGTACCAGCTCTTTGGAAGCAGGCCTTTTGCAATATTATGGCTCTTAGTTGCCCATTTAAGACCAAGCTACCCCAGATGTGTGCATTACATCAATAATGGCTTGCTGTCTTGAACAATCTATGATGAACAATCTATGATATTACACTCAGAAGGTCCCAGGGTTTTGGTCCTCCAAGCTCTGGCCTGTGAGCCCTTGCCCCGTTACAGAATTGTAGAGGGCATGTTTTTCACTCCTCAAGTGTAACCAGGGATGGATATTCTCTGTAGTATCTTGCCATCACCATCCGTGTCATCATTTTGAATCTTTCACTTTGGTTCTGTTAGTGAACAGCAAAGAGCAAAGGTGTAGACGTCCTGCTGTAATGACTGAAGATCCAGTTGCTTCTCCCATTCCTGAGAATTAATAGGGCAGATGTATGTTTGCAGACATTAAATACTTGTTTTTAAAAAACAAAAACAAAAGAAGAGCAGTGAGAGTCTCAAGAAATTAGCTTCAGAGTTGTGTTTTGCGTGGGGCATGACAGTCTAAGCTCCATAGTGTTTTAGCTGGTCACGCACCTAAAATCTAGAAGCGGAATCTTGGGACCTCATGTGGGAAACCAGCTTCTTATCAGGTATTTCAGCTGATAAGCTGTGCTGTAGGAACTTCTTATCAGGTATTTCTTCTCTTCACTAAGAGGAGAAACAGGATGTCGGCTGAACCTTTTCAGCCTGGCAAGGTGATGAGGAAGGAGCTCTTTTGTGGCCCAATGTCATCCTGTTCTGTGTGCTCACGCCTCCTCCTTTTTCTAGAGGTCCAGATGTATGTGTGCAACAAAGAGGTGTACGGCTTCCTACCGGTGCCTCTGCGATCTCACAGCACCCTGCGTGACGAAGTGGAGAGTTTCATGCATACGCAACTGGAGGTCATGGGTGAGTGCTTTGTGGTCGGAGGGGGCACCTCAGGCCTCCCAGACTTGGGGGGGGGCAGGGCCTCCCCTTCTCAAATGACAAAGCATCCCCATGCTATGCTTGGTGTTTGCAGGTCTTTTAACCAAAGGGGGACATTTCTGATCAGGGATCTCTCGCATTCTTCTGTTTGCATTAGAGTCACAACCTGGATAAGCCTGTGAACTTCATCTAGAAAGAATAGGACGGCCAACCTTTATGCCAAAGCTTTAACATCCGTTCTGGTTCCCTTTAGAGAGACTAGAGTGTCTGTTCCAAGCTAAAATAAATATACAGGCCTAAACCCAACATTAATCCTAACTGGAATAAGCCCATTGAATCAGTGGCCTTTTGAAATTCATCAGTCACATCAGTTCCACTGATCCGGTGGGTCTGCTCTGGTTGGGACTAACAGTTGGAATTACACATTTTTGGAAAATAGGCTGTCCTGGTTCTGGGACAATAAAAAGTGAATTGGGAAAGCCATATTACAGTACACAAGTAGAAATGAGTGCGCTCTCCTCCTCCCAATGTTTTTTTTGCATAATCCTGTTCTTGGTCGGGAGAGGTAAAGAGCAGTGGGATCTCCAAACAAACTTCACAAAGTTATATTCTGCCACCACCACCCCCTTTGGCTTGTGGAGTTTCACCTGGCCCAACTAATGCCCTTGTTAGTCAAAACTGACTTGACATAATGGCTGCTTCTGGTTTTCCGGCGGTCTGTGACTAAGGAGGTGAACAGGGCCTTGAAGGTCTCCCTCCTCTTCCTTATGCTCTTGTGATGTGACAGTGAAGTGGAACCTCAGGGCTCAGAGACCATGTAGTCCTGAAAAGCCGGAGCTGTGGGAAGAACCATTGGCTGTCATGCTTAGTGTGTTGCTTCTTGGAGGCTCTGTCCATTTCAGTGGATTCTCTGGCCACTGTTTGAAACAGGTTGCTGGAGGTTTGGGCTGAACAGAGTCCATTGTAATCTATTCCAGGAGAGATCTTATGTTCTCCTTCAGCTGTTAGAACAATGGTGTCATATTTTGTATCCCAGTTTCCTGTTTCTAAATTGTCCCTCCCTGCCAGAATTTCTGTGCTGATGCAGGCAGAGCTTGGTGTATGTGTTTTGTGGAACTACAGTTCCCAGAATTCCTCCACCAGTGGGCCCTATAAAAAAGGAACCCTTCCAAGCTCTTCCTTGGCCAGTTTATGCTGCCCTGCTGTGCCCACTTACCTGGGAATAAACCTGAGGGATTTGCCTCTGAATAGGTGTGTGTAGGGTTGAGCTGTAAATGTGCCACTGAAATCGGAGAACAGCCATCAGCCTTCTGTGGATTCAGCCGTAGTCTGGCTTCACAGCTTTTCCAGTCCAGGGGAATGGGCTGCGTCTCGTGTGTGCTCTGTGCTCAACCTTTCAGCGTGGCCTCTGGCATCAAAAGGGCCTGTGTGGCAGTCCAGCATCTTTGCCTACTGGAGGAGTTTCCTTGACTCACTCCCTTGGGGATGCCTTACAGTCTCTCTTTGTACAGCAGCTGCACAAAGATCCTTTTACTTTGGTCCAGTTGTCCTTAAAGGGGAAGTAGCCACTTCTTGAAAATTTGCCCAGTAGGAGGATCGTAGCATCGTAGGAGAGCTCAGAGTGTGTGGAGACACTTTGCATTAATAACTGCTTATTTTGCAAACTGAAATATTACTGTTCTCATCTCCCTGCTTCTGGACTTGGACTTATTGACTGAAATGCAGGCGAGTGTTTCTTTGCAAGCTGGATGCAAACTTGGCAGTGGCGGTCATTCTTCTGAGGTGCCATGATATTAAAGCACCTTTTCCCTCAGGGGAAACCTTGCTTTCCATATTCCTGTCAGTCAACCTTGAGTGTTGCTTGATGCACGTCTCATTTGCAGGGAGAGATTCACATGTGTATCTATTTACCTTGTGTTGCTAGGACCAGAATGTGGGAGAAGACCTTGTAAAACGTGTGTCTTGTATTTAAAGCAAGGGAAGGGGGGGTGGGGAGTCTGGAAGAGTTGCTCACGTAAACAGCACAAAGACAAAAACAAAAACAAAAAACAAAAACAAAACAAAAACACACCCCTGGAAAATGTCTATAGGCCTCACTGTCTGTCACCTTTGTTTACAGTTAAGAACCCTCCAGTGGAACCTTCCCGATATCTGTCTGTGCCTCCCAAAGTCCCGGACAAGATGGGGTTTGATGAGGTGAGGAATCAAATCGTTCTGAAAAATGAAGCAAATCTGTAGACGTGTCCTTTGCTTCCATGCTCTAGATCAGTGCTTCTCAACATCCTATGTCTGAACATCCCACAAGTTGCTCACACAAAGAACTTGAGTCCTGTCAGAATACAAACAAAAACACCTCTTTTTTTTAAAAAAAAAGGAGGGTTTTTCTCTGTTCACAGAGATTCTGTTGTTCTGTTTCTCCTTACTGTAAATTAATGGGTAAAGAAACCAGTGGATTTGTAGACATACCTAGTGTCTATATTTATTACTAACATGGCAAAAGGTCACAGACAGGTAATCTTTGGGAGAGAAAGTCAGTGGGAGATGACACATCAGGAAGACAAGGGGTTTGAGGGAGAGTAAATTCTCAGTAATTTTTATGAAAACCTTACATCCCTCTTGGACTGCTTCAGAGCTTCACCAGTGCTAGGTTTACCACATAGAGTCATTGATATAGGTAATAAAATCAGTTCTGATTTATGGTGATCCTTTACAGGACTTTCTACTCAGAGTACTCAGAACTGATTTCCTGTTCCACTCCTTCTGGTGGCACTGTGCAGCTTTGCCCGAGGCCACACAGCCTGGCTCTTCCCTTGGGAGGCACAAGAGGGAATCAAACTCCTGAAATCTGGCTCCACAGCGAGATTCCCAGCTCGCTGACCTATCCCGCCAGCTACGTATGCATAAGGTTGCATTACCTGCCACATCATGTCCTTTTGCAGGTCTTCATGATCAACCTGAAACGTCGAGCAGATCGCCGAGAGCGGATGCTGCAGACTCTGTATGAGCAAGAGATTGACTGTAAGATCCTTGAAGCTGTGGATGGGAAGTGAGTATCGTGGAGCTGAAATGCCAGCCCTGAGACAGGGTTGGCACCAAAAGACCAAAAGCACGTGTTGGTTGTCTTTTGTCTTCTGGTGGCATGAGATGCACGTGTGTTAACGATGCTCATAGCAAGCCTTGGTTGAGGGTCCAGTTGCATTGCAACCAACTGCCTATAGCATATTTATGAGGAGGGTCTGGTGTTGAAGGTAGAGCACATGGCTTTGCACGCAGAATGTCTGAATTTTAGTCCCTGTCGTTTCAGGAGACAAAAACTGTGGGTAGCAGATGATGGCAAAGAGTCTTTCTGTTTTAAAGTCCTTGGCTTTAATTTAATTTGCCCCAAGACATGTGTAGAACACACACACACACACACACACAGGCACTTCCTGTCCACTCTAATTTGTCAGGGTTCCTTTTAAATTTTTATTTTCCTATGACACTGAATTGTTATAAATGATACACAGATCTGGTGAAAACGTAGACTACCAGATCCTGTGCTTGACATCAGACACGAAATGTTTATGGGTGCACACAGGGATTGTAAAGTGAGAGAAACTAAATGTAGGAGTAGACAAATTGTCATGTGGAAGGAGCTGATACGGCCAGTGGAGGAGGTAATCCTGGAAAGTGATGGGGGACAGAAGCAAAGGAAGTACCCCAGCATTGCAGCAGCAAGGGGATCTCGTGCCAGAGTTGGTCATTCAAACAAAACTAAACAAAAAAATTAAGACTTAATTTTGGGGGAGTGGGGGGCAACGAGATTGCTCACAGGGGTAAGTGTTCCCGTGGTCACAGAGAACATGCCTCACTTGTCACATTCAACACCACCCTTGCTCCCCTTCAGATCAATCCCTTTATTCACCCCGTTACAGTGGTGCCTTGCATTACGACGTTAATTCCTTCCAGCGAAATCGCTGTAGAACAAAAACGTTGTAATGTGAAAATAAAAGGCCCATTGAAACACATTGAAACCCCTTCAGTGTGTTCCAACGGGCTGGAAACTCACCGTCCAGCGAAGATCCTCCATAGGGCGGCCATTTTTGGTGCCTGTGCAGTGAGGAATCCATCCCAGAAAACAGCGGGGAGCCATTTTATTTACCCGGCGGCCATTTTGAAACCACCAATCAGCTGGCGGAAAATCATCGTTTTGCGAAGACTCTGTTCCCGAAGCAGGGAACCGATCATCGCAAAGCGAAAAAAACCCATTCAGACCATCGTCGTAATGCGGTTTCGCCGTAATGTGGGGCAATCGTAAAGCGAGGCACCACTGTACTTTTCTTTGTTGGCACAAGCGATCGCACGTGACTTACGCTATGCAAGTCCATTGGCTTTCCAAAAAAAAGAGGAGGAGGAGCCCTTGCAGCAGAAGAAATACAGATTGCAATTGGGGGTGGGGGAGAGGAGTCTGGGCTGATTCTCACTGAACTATGTGTTATGCAGCCAATGGAAAATACTGTGATTCTAAGCCTGCCAATCCTGGAGCAATTTCTGTACTATTTGTCAATGTTAGTCACCCCCTGAGTTAGGCAGAGTCTTAATCTGAGTTTTAGTTCCCTTTCCATTCTGGGTGGCAACAAACTCCGTGCTGGCTGGTAGCTTCTGTGTTAGTTTTGACGATTCAGCTTTGCCTCTTTGTATGCCACTTTTCACCCGAAGTCACGCAGCCTGTCTTTGCAGAGCTGGGAACTGAACAACAACAACGTGCCTGCCTTCCTCCTCCCTCCCTCCCAGTCTTCTGTCCTTTCCTCATGCCTTTCTTTCTGTTTGCCTTCAGAGCCATGAACAGCAGCCAGGTGGAAGCCATGGGCATCAAGATGTTGCCAGGCTACAAGGATCCCTACCACGGGCGCCCGCTTACTAAGGGGGAGTTGGGTTGCTTCCTCAGCCACTATAAAGTGTGGCAAGAGGTAAGTGATGCCCACCATGTAAAAGAGGCCAGGGAGCAGTCCTTGGGGCTTCCAGGTCTTTTGGTCTGGAACTCCAATAATCTTTTAATCTCTATGGCCAGCGCTGGGCAAGGCTGATAAGAGTCGTAGTGAAAACATATGGATGGCCGAAGGCTCCATGACCGAGATGTCAAAGAAAGCCAAAGACTCTGTTTTTCATAGGGCCAGATTCCTGGATGTTCTTTCTAAATAATACTGTGTGTCCAAGCTTTGATTCTGTAAAGCACAACTACTATTGCAGGATGTTGTAGGGAGCACAGATTTTATTTATTATTTCTTTATTTATTTAATTTATATGCCGCCCACTCTACCCAAAGGTCTCTGGGCAGCTTACAACAATTAAAATTCAATACAACAAAATGTAAAATGATTAAAATACAATTAGAATACGATTAAAATACAGTTAAAATTGCCACCATCAAGACCTACAGTTAATGTTATTTCAATTAAAAGCCTTCTAGAACAGGAAGGTTTTGACCTGGCGCCGAAATATCATCAGTGTCGGCGCCAGACGAATTTCAGTCAGGAGGGCGTTGCATAGTCTGGGGGCAGCTGCCGAGAAGGCCCTTTGTCTACCTCCTTGAGAGATGGCTCTTTCAAAAGGGCCCCCTGGCTAGATCTTAACAGCCGGGTAGGCTCATATGGAAGGAGGCGGTCCTTCAAGTATCCCGGGCCCAAGCCGTTTCTTCAATTGGGAAAATAAGTTTCTACAGTGGTGCCCCGCATAGCGAGGTTAATCCGTTCCGGATTAACCCTCGCTATGTGAAAACATCACTGTACGGAACGGGGAAAGCCATTGGAACGCATTAAACTTAGTTTAATGCGTTCCAATAGGTGCCAAAACTCACAGTTCAGCGAAGTTTTCCCATAGCCGGCAGCCATTTTCGCGCCCTCCCCTCGCTGCGGGCAGCCATTTCAGGGCTTCCGGTGGCCATTTTGGAGCCGCGGAACAGCTGATCATCGGGCGTCGCAAAGCGAAGATCGGTAAGCGAAACGCTTACTGATCTTTGCTATGCGAGTTTCGCCCATAGGGGCCATCGGTATGCGATCACATTTGCGATCACAAAACCCTAATCGCTATGCGATTTCGTCGTTATATGGTGCACTCGTTAAGCGAGGCACCGCTGTAGTTCTTATAGTTAGGCTTGCAAGTGAGTACCCGATGATGCCTGGTGGCATCTCAAAAGCCTGAAGGGGGAGCGTTGAAGCCTCCATGTTGTATAGAATTCCCTGAATCCAGAGGGGGCTCTGGGCTGTTGGCACTAAAAAGATGCTGGCTTTCATTTGGCACTAAGGGCCAGATTTAGGGGCCACTGGTGGCCATGCTGGCTTGCTATCTGTCAGAACAATAGGAAGGGTCGATGAAGGCACAGCATCTAATCCAGAGTATCTGGGAGGTTGCTGTATTTCAGAGTTTATGCTGCCACCTGTTGGGCATCCCTATGTATTGCACTGGACCTAGACCCTGAGGTGGAAAAAATGGTTCAGCGTATTGATTGATTGATTTGATTTATATACTGCCCAATTAGTGCGAATAAAATAATAGGTGAAACATACAATACTAAATGTGAATACAAAAATTTAAAAGATTAATAAAATAAGAACAATGGCCACCCCGGGGACAATTATCTGAATGACAGCAGGACAGGGAATGTAAAATAAAAATCAGATAGGGTTGGTCTGAAAAGTGTCCCTGAATAGCAATATTTTAAGCTGTTTTATAAACGTTAGTGGGGGGGGCAAACGTAGCTCCACCAGGAGCTTAGTTCCACAACATTGGAATGTATGAAGACATAGAAATAAAAAAGGTTATTGGTGATATTTCCCACTCAGATCTTGCTCCTCAGCTTTGGGAGGCAGATCTGCATGTAGTTCAGATCGGTAGCTGTTATCCTCGGGATTAGATTGTGGAGGACAGGGCTGTACAGTGTGTGAGCTGCCAGCAAGCACAACAAAATGCAGACGATATTAGATGCAGAATTCCACTTTCTGAGAATCCTAGCTTTTCTTTTTCTTTAAAGAAGTTTTGTAGCCGTTATAGCTATGTGTTGTTTGTCTCTCATTCATTCATTCATTCATTCATTCATTCATTCATTCAGTCATTCGTTCGTTCGTTCGTTCGTTCGTTCGTTCATTTTTCCCCTTTGCCTGTCTTTTGGGCTATCAAACATAGACTATGTTATTCAGAAATGTACAAAATAGAAATGTGTGAAAGAAGAGGAACTGTGCACATTTATTTCCATTTCCAAACAGTTTAAAAGGTCTCCAAATTCAACTTTTCTCGAATTGCTCCCATCCTGGGCTAGGAAGGGATGAGTTTAGGAAGCGCTTTTCTGACAGTGTGAGTTGCAGGATGTTGGCCAAGAAGAAGAAATAAAGATAAGAGAGAAAAGAAGCTGATGGAATTCAACCACGGGCCTTGGGGTGGAAAATCAGGATGCAAATGTTTATTTTAAATAAATAGCTTAGGAAATAAACAAGCAGAAAAGAGGCCAGTGATGTGTTTGCCTCTTTTGCCAGATTGTTGAGAGAAGCCTGGAGAAGTCAGTGGTGTTTGAAGATGACCTGCGTTTTGAGATTTTTTTTAAACGGCGCATAATGAACCTCATGTATGATTTGGAAGAAGAAGGCCTAGACTGGGACTTGATGTGAGTACGAGTGTGTTGCCATTGCCTGAGAAGTCTTCACAAAAACGTTGACCAACGGGGAACGTAACTTGATTAAGATTTCTCAAACTGCAGTGTGTCATATGCACATACCTGAAAGATAATACCTGCAAGGCCTACAGAGGAGTAAGTAGTGGGAGGAACGGATAAAGTGGTGAAAGGAGGTGTGTGTGTGTCTGTCTGTCTGTCTGTGTCTGTGTGCGCGCACGCGCGTGTGCTGGGGGGAACTGCAGCTGGCTGATCTGACATTATTGGAATTAGTCTCATAGATAAAGAGACATGCCTACAGATCTGTTATAGATAAGAGACCAAAGGAAGTCCACCATGCATGGGAAGTCCTTAGAACAAGCCTGAATAGAGGCTGAAAAGTGAATGATTGCCTATTTGTCAATGGGGTGATTCCATAAGGAGAACAGTGAGAATGGCCTCTTTTGTGGGATTGCTGTACAAATTGCCGAGGCAGACTTGGTGGCGGTGGGAAAAATACTGTACATTTAAGCAGAAATGTAAAAAATATCCCTCTCATTCTCATGCCTTTTGTAGAATTCCATCACCATTCCCTCCCAGTTTCATATTGAGTTGTGAGACTTCCCTCCACTCCTACAAGCAAATACATGTTTCCCCAGCTCAAGGAGTACAATATCTTTATTAGGATAACTTTAACAACATGAAATGTCTTCCTCGATACCTTTAGTAATATTTAATATATTAACCCAAAATCTATGGATTTTGGAATGTTTTCCAGTTTTTAATACTTTTTACTTTGGAAGATTTAATGTAAAAAATGGATAAGAAAAATAAATTGCACCTTTAATAAAATAAGAACAAACGGCCACCCTGGGGAAAATTATCTGAATGACAGCAGGACAGGGAGCGTAAAATCAAAATCAGATAGGGTTGGTCTGAAAAGTGTCCCTGAATAGCAATATTTTAAGCTGTCTTCTAAATGTTAGTGGGGAGGTAAATACAATGACGTTAGTAATCACTATAAACTGCCATTGTAAATTTGCTATATGAATATTGTTGAAATCATCACTACATACATCTCAGGTTAAGCATATTAATTTGTAAAAGCAAAATAGAAATGGAAAAAGCCAAAAATGTGGTGGCACCTTAAAGACTAACGTTTACATTTTTTAATGTGAGCTTTCATGGACAGGTCCATTTTGTAAGACATAAGAGAAAGAGATTTAACATGGCAAATATTTATACATGGCATCAAAATATAGGTTTCAAAATACAGAAATCGTGGTTGGTTGGTGAAAAAGTCATTGTGTTGATAGCACCTTTGATATGTAGGTCTTTCATTGAAGCTTGTGCTTTAAAGCACTGGTTCTTAACCTTGGGTTACTCAGGAGTTTTGGACTGCAACTCCCAGAAGCCTTCACCACCAATTGTGTTGGCTGGGGTTTCTGGGAGTTGCAGTTCAAAAACATCCGAGTAACAAAGGTTAAGAACCACTGCTTTAAAGAATTTGAGAACCTCTGTCATAAAATAACAGTGGTAGAGTAACATGAATGTTAATTAAATTGGCTGTTTACATTCAGTTGATGAACTTAACGTCTGATGAAGTGGACTTGTCCACAAAGCTCACATTAAAAAATATAGAAGTTTGTCTTTAAGGTGCCACCCAGTATTGGTCTTTTTTTACTTTTTATTTCTATTTTGCTTTTACCTATAATGCTTGCACAGACTAGCATGGCTATTCCTTCTACAACTACCTATTAATCTGTGTAGACCTCCCAAGGAATTTGGAAGGAATTTATTTTATTATTGTGGATGCTGACAGTTGCCTCTGTATGTACAGCAAAAGAACCTGTTTGCCTAACTTGTTCTCCTGGATTTCTTGGAGATAATTCAGATGATTTACACACCTGGCATATATTAATCATACAAGACATTTGGTGGGAGGACAGGAACAAAAGGATGCAGTTCAAAAAGTTGTTTTGACAATAAAATAAAATAACAGGACAATAATCAACCGGTGATCACTTGTGTAAGTGTGGGTCATGCATTACAAACTAAACCAAATACGTAGGTGGCCACCATTGCTGAAGAACTTTAAATGGGTCACAAGAGTTCCATCTTTCAAAAGGATGACATTGTGGCTGCACACGGTAGCATCTTCAAAACCCTGCTTTTTCTTCAATCTCTTGTCTCCTTTCAGCTACATTGGCCGGAAGCGCATGCAGGTGGAGCATCCAGAGAAGGCTGTGCCCCACGTCCGCAATCTGGTGGAAGCCGACTACTCTTACTGGACACTGGGCTATATCATCTCCCTGCAAGGTGCCAAGAAGCTCCTGGAGGCCAAGCCTCTCTCCAAGATGTTGCCAGTGGATGAATTCCTGCCTGTCATGTTTGACAAGCACCCGGTGTAAGTCTGGACTTCCAACTTGTTGAGAGGAGAAACACGAGGGCCGTTATGACACCTCATATGGTTTGCTGAGATTGTTTTAGGAAAAAATATCAGAAAAAGGCTGTGTGGTCCACCACTAAATATATATATTTATAAATCCAGGAGTAGGCAATCCTTTATTGGACCCCTAAAGAAATCAAGTAGGTAGCTAGCTTTTGATGATAATTCAGCATCATCATCAGGCTGTGCACCAAGATAAAAGCCCCAAAGTTTCATGGCATGGGTTGTTCATTGTACCAGGCAATCTTTTCGCTTTCCTTGTACCTGAAACTCTCTTGCGCAACTCCATGGTTGTGAATGGTGATGACATCATCAGCTGCCAACATTCTTTTTTTACATTTAATCTCTCCTATCTGCCGCCACCTCCTTCAAGGTTCTGAGGCTCAAAGGAACTACTGGATAGTCCAGTGGTTGAGGTTTGCAGCTGCAGAGCCAGAGGCTGGGAGTTCGATTCCCACACTGTGCCTCGTTGATAGGGCTTGAACTCAATGATCCATAGGGTGCCTTCCAGCTCTACAGTTCAAAGATGGTGATGATTAAAACAGTAGGAAGGGGATAAGAAAGATTACATTAAAGATTAATTTTGGAAGTGGACAGAATTAAAAGCAAATTATGTAATCGTACGAGGACTTCCAAAGCTGGAGTGGAGAACATGTAGTATTCCAAATTTTATTGGACTACCACCCCTATCACTTTTGGTCAGCGTAGCCAGTGATGAGGGATCACTGGAGTTGCAATCCTGCAATATCGGGAACCATGTTCTCAAGTGTTCCTGTTCATAACTGGCATCTCTAAATTTAGGAGGGCAGGAGGTGTTCAAAATTTTTCTGAGTTTCCGTTTCTTGAAGGTGACTCTCCTCCCTCACATTAGGAACTTCTGTCTTCATAGCCTATCTGAACCACAATTATTAGAATTCAGGTAGAGAGGAGCCAGCGTTTGGCAAAAACTGATAGAGAAGAGTCTGCGTTTGCTGAAATCCTTCACCTCTCCATTCCTCTTTTTCTGATCTGAAATTCGTGCAGGCGAGGCCTTCACATACTCATGTGTGGAAAAGAGAACTTGTAAACTCGGGAAGCCACAGGCTTGAATTTAGAAGAGCTGGGCTGAGCTGAGATGTTGAGGACACAGGACCTCCTTCATAAGGTTGTCCTAAATTGGAGGCGGGTTGTTGGCACAGAACAACAACAGAGAAGATGTTATGGTGTGAACAGATATTCCCGTTTGAATGAGATTCAGCCATAACTTCCAATTCCATTGAACCAATGTAAATTTGCACTGTTGAAATCCAAACTAATTTGTATGCACAGCTGAGGAAGCCCCTTTTTTTTCATGCGATCTTTGCTCTCCACAGTTCTGAGTACATGGAGCACTTTGACAACCGGAACTTGCTGGCCTTCTCGGTGGAGCCCCTGCTGGTCTACCCGACTCACTACACGGGCGACGATGGTTACATCAGTGACACAGAGACCTCCGTAGTGTGGGACAATGAGAACGTCAAAACGGACTGGGACCGGGCCAAGTCTCAGAAGATGAAGGAGCAGCAGGAGCTGAGCAACGAGGCCCGGAACACCGACGTGCTCCAGTCTCCCCTTGACAGCACAGCCCGTGATGAGCTATGACCCTGATGTGACGGAGATGATGAGATAGGGACTGAGGGAGGGGCTTGTGGGTTGATCCTCTCAGATGCCACCCGTGGGAATTCATCGTAGGCCACCTCTTCCATCATACTCAGAAGGGCAAACCCATCTCCCTTCAGTGTTGGGGGGAGATGGGTAAAGAAGTGTTTGAGTTTGCTTAAGGCCTACCGTTCCTCCATGACATCAACCCTCTTTTTCTGATTCGAAAGTGCAGGTGAGGCCTTACCCTACTCATTTATGTAAGAGAAGTTTTATTCTCTCAAAAATCGGTACCATACAGGGAACCCTATACTTGCTGGCAGAAGGGGTGAGGTGGGTCCTTAAAGCCTAGGGCTAGAGATGTACCTCAAACTATCAGGCCACAGCATCATAAGCCTTTGTGACAGATAAAATTGCCTGCCTTGGTGTAAGGTGGAGACCTTTTTTTGGTTATTTTTATATAAAATGTTTACAAGTGTGAACTTTGTTTCTTCTTTCTGAGGAATCCTGATTCTGTGTTCTCCAGGGTGCCTTGACAGCATTATAGCTGGGGCAGCTCACAAACTGGGGTGGTGGGTGGTAATGTCTTATCTCAGAGGTTCAGATGGGGTTGATGCCCACTCCTGTTACCCATTGGTCCCAAGTTTCCTGTGACTTGGTGCTTTGATTATTCATTATTGCTCTGTGCCATCAAGGCTCCTCTGAATGATGGCGGCCCTATGAATGGGCAATCTTTACAGTGTCCTCAGCTGTCCTGCTCAGCTCCTGAATCGCAAGCTTGTGGCTTCCTTGTGGTAGTTAATCCATCTCAGATTTGGTTGTCCTCTTTTTTCCTGCTGCCTTCCAACTTTCCCAGGGTCATTGTCTTTTGCAGAGAATCTGCCCTTTTTATGATGTGTCCAAAGTAGCACAGCCTCAGTCTCAACATTTTTGCCTCTAGAGTTAATTCAGGCTTGATATGAACTAGATATGAACACTTGTTTGTCTTTCTGGCAGTGGGAGGACTCAAATGTCCCAGGTTCTTGTGGGCTGGTGAATTCCAGGGTATTTTTGCCTTGTTCCTTGAGGTGTGCCATAGTGTGTTGTAACTAGCCTATTGCCCAACAGACAGAGATGCATCATGGGGAAAAAAAACAGACACAGTCTGTATCTCCCTTCTTCCATTGTGACAAGCTAATCAACAGTACTGGAATTTGGATCTCCTGTTGAGTTGCATCAGCTTCTGGGCTTCCTAAAAGTACCTGAATGGCCACTGTTGGGAGCAGAATAGCCTGATCCAGCAGGGCTCTTAGGTTCTTAACTGCATTACCAGCAGCACCATCCTTATTTGTGTTTCTGAGTTTTGTTTTGTTTTTAGCAAAATAAAAAAAAAATTTAAAAATGGGGGATCAGAACACAAGGAAAGGGCAGGAGAGAATTAGTCAAAATTAACTGTGTCCCATGTTGCATATCTGGGTTAAAAAGGTAGGTCCCAGATGAGAAGAGGTAGAAGGGGGCTGAAAAGAGGCTCCTGAGGCATCACAAACTCTGCTATAATTGCTGCTGCTTAACAGTCACCTTTGATTTAGAACGTAATTCAAGTTTAATGTTTACATAATGGGTTTGTTTTAACAAAATAACTGTCTCTGGGTCAGCAGGACTACAGTAGTGGTAGCGAACCCGCCTGAGAAGAAATGCTAGCATTCACTGGAAAGTTTTATTACAGATCACACAATAGCAATCTGGCTATGCCTTCCTCTCTGCTGAAACAAGAGGGGGCAGTCGTGATCCACAACAAAGGTTGGACTTACGGTGAGAGTTGGGATGTCACAGAAGGTACATGTTTATTGCCAGGATGTGCCACCCACTTCTTTAGTGTTCAGTTTGTATGAATCGTGATGTCACCTGTGTATGCCAACAATACGTGGTGCTTCACTCTCTTGTGTAGAAAGGGTTATAACTGTGTGGGAAGAAAGTAGTGTTCCCTAACTTAATGGCCTCTAGATGTGTTGAACTGCACACACACACCCCAATGGTGGCAGTTCGTGTGGATGCAGGTCATGCTTGTTGGGGAGGGTGGGCGTTGTAGTCCAGTACATCTGGAGGGTTCCAGGCTAAGGAAGGCTAATCTAGAGAGGAACAGTAGGCGGACAACTGCATGGAGATCTGGGAAGTCAGCCATGTACAGCTGTGTTCCATCATGTTTTTCATAACAATGCATGTTGTCCTAGGAGATGTCACATCAGAATGGTGAAGTGGTCTATGTTCTAGATCTCTGGGCGTGCCTGCCTGCAGAGTGCGGGCAAGTTTAGCTGCCTAGCTGGCTACTTTTTGATGCCTACACCACAGAGAGTTCCCTGCATAATCCGATATGGTGGACAACATGGTCTTCCTCCTTCCTCCCATCTCTGTTTGAAGGATATTAAGGAACATGGATCTTCCTATGACTATAGGCCAGATGTATTGTCTACTGCACTCTCCTTCAGACATGTGGATTACGTGCACTTGCTTGCAACAGCTTCAGATTATATTTCTCTCTTCTGCTGATGGCCGCTGAACTGAAAGGACCAGAGCTGCTCCAGCTGAAGGAGCTGTAATTCATTATCCAACAACAGGTTTGAGATTGGTGTTGAATGTCTTTTGAAATTGTGCTTTCTCATTTGAGACAGACTGTCCAGGAATGGTGCTTTTGAAAATGAACTGCTTTGGAGGAAGCGGGGGCCAACAGGAGGCAGAAGACCCTCACATCAGCATTACATCTCAAGGCACTCTAGACAGGGTAGTGCCCTCTGATTTTATTTTTCTACCTGTTACACGGACAGGCCAAAAATCAGACGTGGCCCACAGGGAGTGTGTAGTGTGTAAGAATCTATTTGAGATCCCCCTTACCCTGACTCTTGTTTAATGTACTGTTGGGGTGCAAGCCGCCTGCCAGTTCTGTACAAACTCTTGCGTAACCCCCATTAAAGCTCAGTAGGATTTCAACAGAAGAATGGGTGAAGTACCTTCCCCTCTTTTGTTTTCTACAAAGTCTAGACAGGACTGGTGATGGTTATACCTGTTTTACCAAAGCAGAAGTTAGACAGTGAGAAGGAGCGTCGATGGCAAACCCTTGAGCCTATTTCTCACAGGTAGGAGGCCAACAGTAGCCTCAAAGGGCTTGTGTTTGAACCCTAACCATACCCCTTGATCAAATAGTTTGGGACATTCTATGGCAAGTGGGTAAGTTCCTAGTCTCTGTGATTAAAATGGGTTTGCCAATTTAATAATAAAAAGGTACCAAAGAGCTTAGAAATATCAAGGTAACTTTAAAAATATACAAATTAATTTTGTTTGCTTTAATAGTGGGATTTGTATACTGAATTATTTTCCTCAGAGGATCACCTCATTTTGAGACAAAGAGTCTTGGAAGAGGAGAACCAAAATGAATACATCAGGATTATTGTCCCGTGACGGTGAAGTGACTTCCACATTGTGTCAGCACAACTAAACTAAACCTATATGTTCTTCTATTTCTTCTTTTTTTTCAGCAACCAATACACTAGATTAGTTCGGCTGTCTCCTCTTCTCTCAGTGCCCTTTGTTTGCAAGATGTCCAACAAACAGATCCTGTTCTTACAAATGCTGTACTGATTACCCAGGAAGAGTCCCCACTACTGCATATTTGTTGCTGCAGGCGTACTAGAGCAGCCACTCTCAACCTGTATTTTGGCCAGGGCCATGAACACAATATGAAAGAAATATACTGTAGGCTGAATCAGAATTGTAGAAGTTGCAAAGTGAACTTTCTAAGGTAGTGCATGAAGAATTGTTTCCAGTGAGAAATAAGGGCTGGATCAGGATTGTAGAAGTTGCAAAGTGAACTTTATAAGGTAGTGCATGAAGAATTGTTTCCAGTCTGTGGCCCCCTTCACATGTGCCAGGGACCCCCCAAGGGGACATATTCCCACGCTCCATGAGAATGGCTGCTCTAGAATAAATGCTGTGTTACATGTAACAAAAAAAAGGACCTGCAAGAAAATGTTACTGTATGCAGTGTGCTACTCATTGTTGCAATCAGGTAGCTATTCCCTGTTCCAGCAAACTGGCTCTCCTTCCATTCCCACTGTGGAGCCCCCATACACACACACATACACACAACTGCAGAATTCCCCATTTAGTTGTTTTGGGGATTCCTTCCTCATAGGCTCCCCCCCCCCAAGACTTTTTCAGAATTCTGGAAGCCTGAACTACCCCACCCTCCAACAACTGCAGAATTCCCAATTTAGTTGTTTTGGGGATTCCTCCCTTATAGGCTCCCTCCCCCTCCCAGAGACTTTTTCATATTTCTGGAAGCCTGAACTACCCCACCCTCCAGTTTCTGCTATCTTCTTCTTGTACATGGATGTTGCATTGTTGATTGCTTAAGGACCAGCAGAGACCTGATAACTACTGTTAGTGCCACAGGTTCTTACACAAATTGATCTGGTTTGGAAAAATGGACCCATAATATGTGGAGTTGGGCCCTGGCAACCTATCGGAGCTTCTATATTAAAACAGTCGTACTGGTTAACCATTGCTAATCATTCCCTGCAGTTCTGAGTCAAAATGAGCAGTGATCCCCATGGGACTTGTTATGTGCCCTCAAGTTGCCTCCCACATTTGGTGACCCCATGAATGAGTGATCTCCTAAATGTTCTGTTCTCAACTCAGCTCTTGCAAGCTCAAACCTGTGTATTCCTTTAGGGCAGTGGTCCTCAACCTTGGTGTTATGTGCCCTCAAGTCGCCTCCCACGTTTGGTGACCTCATGAATGAGTGATTCTGTTCTCAACTCAGCTCTTGCAAGCCTGTGTATTCCTTTAGGGGGTCAATCTGTCTTGTAATTGAGAGCTTCCCTTGGGTCCATCTGTCTTGTAATTGAGAGCTTCCCTTGAGCAGTGAAGGGGGAGGAACATGCAGTTCTCCAGCTGTGGAACTGCAACTTTCTTCACTCTTAGCCAGCAGTCAGAGGTGATAGAAGTTGTCTTGATATGTGGGAGGCCACCATTTCTCCACCCTAAATGTTGGAGGGAGGGATTTCAGTATTAATACCCATGAGTTCTGTTGACATCACAATATCTGTTTTCCTGCATTTTATCTTGGGAGGAACTCCAAGCCAAACACCAAAGCTTCTGTGCTCAGTTTGCACATTGCTTTCTGGGAATCTATGCAAGCCTGAGTTGAAATGGTACAACCCACAACATTCCAATACTCAGTTGATCACGTTCTCACTGGGTCACACAGTTCTTTAATAAAACAGGGCAGTTCTTGACAAATAACCTAAATAAATAAAACACCCACAATTGTTGACACTGTACACCCTTCTCAGTACACCTACCAATCCTTAGTCCACTGCAGCTTCCAAGAGCTCTATGAATCCTTGCCGTTTTACTCTGCCTAAACTATACCTCTTCATTTATAGCCTTTCTTCTTTCTTCTTCCCTTTCTGTCATTTTATTTCATGTAAACTATTTGACTGAGAAC